CATAATATGTTATCAAAATTTCGGTTAGTGTCGATTTTACTGTTGTTGTTTTTTTGTCTTCAATTATATTATAAACAAAGAAGAACTTTAAGAATAATATCATTCAAACAAAATTCCAACTATTAATAGCCATGAAGTCTTCTTATCAAAAAACTCCACCTTTTTTATTGTTTTTACTCTTGGTTAGCGAAAGTTCATTTTTAAAGCGTTCATAGTGACATAATGTTTTTCGTCAATAATATAATGTCTCAATTTTGAGTTTTGAATTTTTTTTGAAAATGGAAAAAAGGGTTTTTTTGACGCAAAATTAATAGAAAAACATTCGATAGTGCTTATTTCGTCGGATATTTTCACCAAAAACCAAAGGCTATAGCCCGTGTTTTTTTACAAATTTTGAAAAAAATTGTTTTTCTTCATATTTCAATACAAAGATGTCCTTGATGTAAAACTTTCAAAATAAAGATCCTTTTATGAAAATTCCCAATAGTTATTTCATAATATGTTATCAAATTTCGGTTAGTGTCGATTTTAATGTTGTTGTTTTTTGTCTTCAATTATATTATAAACAAAGAAGAACTTTAAGAATAATATCATTCAAACAAAATTCCAACTATTAATAGCCATGAATTCTTCTTATCAAATGAACTCCACCTTTTGGATTGTTTTTACTCTGGGTTAGCGAAAGTTCATTTTTTTAGCATTTATAGTGACATAATGTTTTTCGTCAATACTATAATTTCTCAATTTTGAGTTTTCCGACGAAATAAGCACTATCCGATTTTTTTCTATTAATTTTGCGTCAAGAAAACACTTTTTTCCATTTTCAAAAAAAATTCATATTTTCACCAAAAACCAAAGCCCATGTTTTTTCACAAATGATGAAAAAATTTTTTTTCTTCATATTTCAATACAAAGATGCCCTTTATGTTAATCGTTCAAAATAGTGATCCGTTTATTAAAATTCCCAATAGATATTTCATAATCTCTTATCAAAATTTCGGTTAGTCTCGATATTACTGTTGTTGTTTTTTGTCTTCAATTATATTATAAACAAAGAAAAGCTTTAAGAATAATATCATTCAAACAAAATTCCAACTATTAATAGCCATGAAGTCTTCTTATCAAAAAACTCCATCTTTTGAATTGTTTTTATTCTGGGTTAGCGAAATTTCATTTTTATAGCCTTCATAGTGACATAATGTGTTTCGTCAATACTATAATGTCTCAATTTTGAGTTTTCCGACGAAATAAGCACTAAAAAAACAACAAAAATAGCAAAACAAGATTTCAATGTATTGTACATACACAGACTAAACAAACACGTTTGCCAACTATTTGGAATTGGCTTTCCAAAATTTAGAATTTCCTCAATTCAGCAAATCCAACCATAAACAATGATGTAATTTCAAACCCTGGCTTATATACCCTGTGTTTTCTGTTACACAATACCAATTCTGACTCACTGTCAACACATAATGATACACCTGTAAGAAAAGTTACCACTGCTGAATTAAAAATTAATATAAAATAATCCGATAATTTAGCTCTCAGGCATGATGGACTAAGAAATATCGTACTCAAGGATTCCTCTCACAAACTCCTTTTCCACCTAACAAATCCCATAAACTTTACACTGCTGTCTGAATACTTCCCAGACTACTGGAAAAATAGTTATCTCTAAAAACCCATCCAATAGCTCCAACCCAGACATTCAGACCAATCAGTTTACTTAGTTGTCTTGGCAAAACTGGTTGAACCAGTAATATCCAGCCAACTTCTATATTTCTGGGAAAGTAATAATTTCCTTTCAAACATACAAAATTGAACCCACTTTGCTCACGGACTATTCAAAACAAATACTGAATATATTCATGGACAAAACTTTATTTTATTTTATTAGAAATACTTCACTTAAAAATATGACTTTTTGTATGTGAAAGACTTGTAATATTAACTGAAAGACTGCCACATTTTGTGAAGATATACCCATTATATAGAGAATTATAAGTACTGAATTTATATCAACTTTAAACTAGTACAAAAGGTCACGTGACTCGGTCAAATTGACCGACCCTGTGCTGGTAGAGTTCCAGACTCACTGAATCTCTTTCAAATCATATAATAGTACTGTTACGTATCTGCTTGTTTGTTAATTTCCCGTAAAAATTCTTTTCAGAGAAACTTCAGCGAATACAAGTCATTT